TTGCTTAGAGTCTTAGAGAGCTGTTAAGTCAACTTTATGGTTATTTTGGAAGATAAACCTTCTGTTTGTGGTGCTATTAAATTACAGGGTATTATACAGAGGGGTGCTTCTTATGTATACACCACTCAGTGATAATAAAAACACCTGAACAAACAACTAGCTCTACAGTCCCAAAGCATCCAAAAATTTAAATTAGTAATTGTTAGATGCTAAAACTTCCGAAAGCCAGAATATATTGTTACTGGCTGTATTACTATTATGGAAATGTTCCTTATAAATTAAGTGCCTTTAGAATAGTCCTGTTTTACATTGAAATTTGTAGAGTTAAAAGACTGTAAATGACCAGTTTGGAACAGAAAAGTACAAAAACCCAACAGATGGCAAAAGAGATGTTTGATCACACAAAGTCAGGAGAGGATAAAAACTACAAATTTAAAATGCTTTTTTCCCCCAGAGTCTTAGAAAATGTAGGTTGACGATCTCTAAACAGCTTCTCTGTGTAGAGTTTATTAATTTAAAATCAGCGGTTCGAACTTTTGCTTCATGGAAAATATCAGTCATGATATCGTTTGAATTGTATCATTTACAAAGGTCGAGGAAGCTACCACACCAGTAATGTAGCTTTTTATAGAGAGTGCAATGAAATATTCTCAAAAAATTAATTAATAAATAAAGTAAAAAAAACAAAAACTGACGTACAATATTTTTTGCTGATTTCTGTAAATATTATGTGAATGTAAAATGCTGCAGACATAATTTGGAACCAGTCTGATTTTCTGTAGCCGGAAACCAGTGGAATGCCCACCGTGCATCTGGAACAAGTTGCGAGTGTGAAGTATGGTGAATTTGCTCACAGATGAGGGTAGAGTAGATTGTCTGATTGGTGCAGCATCTGCTTTACTGCATTACAGTCTGTTGTGGTGAGGAAGCTGCTGAGTGTGAATGTAAAACTGTCCAATTACCAGTCGATCTACTTTCCTTCCCTTATCTATGGTTATAATCAGTGGGCAGTGAAGAAATGAAAGAAATTAACCTCTTCTGAAGGGTGTCAGGGCTCTATTGTAGAGATGGGGTGAGTAGAGCTGTTACTCCTCCACACTGGATAAGAGCTATATGATGTGGCTCAGGTATCTGACTGCTGCATCCTAGATGCGTTTCCGCAGGTCCTTCCTCCCTGCAGCTGTCAGACTGTACAATCAAAACGGCTCCCAACAAACACAGATGTTTACATCAGCGCTGAAATTTGCACTAATCAACCGAACAACTACTACTGTTATAACTTGCACATTACTTTCTCAGTTTATATATACTAACTAACTAACTTTTTAATGCACATGTACAATACACAATCTGTATTTTAAACATCTTTCAGTATCCTGCTCCGTTTGCACACTACAACCTGGGTTTGCTAATTATCTGTACTTTAATTTTAATAACTGTACAGTACTGTTTTGGTAACTATTGTCCATGATATGTAAAAATATTGTGTGTTTCTGTTCTGTGTCCTGTGTCCTGTTCTGTTTGTATATGTGTTTTTTCCCCTGTGGGACAATTAAAGGATTATTCTATTCTAGTCTAGTCTATTCTGTTCTATCTGGCAAGTATCTGATTTCTGTGTGCCTCTTAGGGGAGGTGTTTTAGGCCGGGACGAGGCTCTTGGGCCTAGGACATGCTTCTAAGCTGGCTTGAGAATGTCTTGGTGAACCCACTAATATGGATGCCTTTATCATTGAAACACTGCTGACACCTCCTAGGACAGACACTGTTGCTGCTTTCAGTTTCTTAGAATGTTTTGTTACTATACTTGACAGGTTTTAAATGGATTATTTCCTCAAATAATTGATTATAATTTACGGAGCCCCGCAGGGGACATGGGAGAAAAAAAATTAAGACGGACTTTTGAGAAATCTCGCAAAACTTTTGCGAGATCCCGAGTTAGTTCTGCGAAATCTCGCAAAACTAACTCGGGATCTCGCAAAAGTCCGTCTTAATTTTTTTTTCTCCCATGTCCCCTGCGGTTCTCCGTAATAATTGATAGCCAGTTTTGCATATATTAATCTTTAAGCTTTCGCTGCACTTCAAAATAGAACTTTGGTGCCAGATTTTGAAGCTACGATATAAAGTCCCCTTTTTGACAGAATGTTTACCAGCCTCGCTGATATGATTTTCATGTTGTGAATTTTTCTGCCTGTCACAGTAGGTCATCATGGCAAAATGTACTTCTGCAGGTTTTAAGCTTTTTGGCACAAGTTGGATGGATGTGTCTGTCTGGGCAGATTTAGTCAGTGACCTAATGTAACAACAGTCCAATATGGAGTGAAATCTAGTATGTGTGTACTTGGAGTGTACAGACATCCAAGTAAAGGTTCAATGAAGGATATGATCCAACCAAATGGAAAGCTTTCAAGGCTGAAAAATAAGCATTAAAAACACAGTGGAAGTTAATGTGTTGGTTTCCTTTCTTTAACTTCTGAGACATATTTGGTTTTCTGCTTGATTCCCATTAACTGAAGTAACTATTTAATTATTTTGGGGGTGTTTTGTCAGTTGTCCCTTGTGTGTTAGACTAGTCTGATGAGCTAATATTTAAATCCACTTTTTCTTGTCTGTTAAGTCAGTTTTTTTTAATGCAATTAATTTGGTGGTATTTTGTTAAGTTGCTTTTATTACTTTTTTTGTTTTTTTTTTATTTGTTTACTTATATATAATATATTTTTGCTTTTTTTTTTGTTAAATAAAACTCACTGTCTCCATAATTACTCCTGTGTCCTCATGTCCAGGCAGCTCATTCACTCACAAGATTAATTAGCAAGTATGTGTTGCAGCCATGAATTCAGCTCACTAACCTTGCTTCCTAGCTGTAGCTTATAATTTAGCACTGTTTTTGTATCTAATTGTAGCACCCTTAGCTTACAATATAAAGTGAGGCTTTATATTGCTTTTGTTATATAAGTAAACCCAAATAAAACTGGTCACATTTCAGTGTAAATATGGCCACTTCTGGCTCTGAAATACAAACCTGGCAGTGTCCTGAACACTTGTTGCTGAGGCTCCATGGCCTCTTCCTCCTTTACCCCCTGAAAGTCATTTACATGTTACCTGTGTAAGTATCTCCCAAAATCTCTAGTTCATATCTTGTATATAAATACTGTCCATCCATCCATCCATCCATCTTCATCCGCTTATCCGAGGTCGGGTCGCGGGGGTAGCAGCCTAAGCAAAGAGGTCCAGACCTCCCTCTCCCCAGCCACCTCCTCCAGCTTGTCCGGGGGAATACCAAGGCGTTCCCAGGCCAGCCGAGAGATATAATCTCTCCAGCGTGTCCTGGGTCTGCCCCGGGGCCTCCTCCCGGTGGGACATGCCTGGAACACCTCGCCCAGGAGGCGCCCAGGGGGCATCCTTGCCAGATGCCCGAACCACCTCAGCTGGCTCCTTTCGATGTGGAGCAGCAGCTGCTCTACTCTAAGCCCCTCCCGGATGGCCGAACTTCTCACCCTATCTCTAAGGGAGAGGCCAGCCACCCTTCGGAGGAAGCTCATTTCCGCCGCTTGTATCCGCGATCTCGTTCTTTCGGTCACTACTATAAATACTGTATATTTTCCAAAGTGGGTGTAGTGTAAGACATTGTTGGTGTTGCAATTGTTAATTGGTCTCTGGTGTTTGACTTCCTTTTGGGTAAAAGATCAGAGGTTTTCTTGCTTTTCTTTGTTAAGCCTAAAGCATCTAATGAAGAGGTCTACTGACACATGGAGGGAACATCATGATTGTTTGGTTTGGTTTACTTTTGGAGCCAAGAAGTCCTCCACATTGTTTGTATTTTGTCCCCATTTCCATTTCATATTCATATGTTAGTCAAAGCTTACCTGTGCATGCCTACTGAGTAGTGGACGGATGACTTCCCACTGCCACCAGGTTCAGACAGATAAAAGCTGTAATTTCAGCTGTGGGGAAGCCAGTGGGATTACATTATTGTGGTAGCAACTTCCCATTCACTGAAGATGGGTAGATTTTAGATAAGGACGGATTCTTATATTGTCTGTTTTAAATAACTAAAAGCTGCTTTATGAGGGATTCTCAAAATATAATATCATAAAAATAACTGCATCAAATGCCTGACCCTACATTGAATGGATTTGCTGAACATTTGCATGGGGAGTGGTTTTAATCGTTTACAAACATATCTAAAAATGTCTTCAGTAATCAGGAATACATGTCAACTGTATATTTTCTTATAAATTTGCTCTTCTTGATTTTCCATTTTATGTTTCTTTCAGTGTCTTTGATGTCTAAAGCCCTAAAATGGTCTTCTATTTGCTTTAGAAGGAAAGGTTAGGCAAAGACTGCATCTGTAAACTAAAACACAGCATTTTGGGGAATCGCAAATTACCATGTGCGAAGAAGCGCAAACAGGGTGCATCGTTTTCATATATGATGTTTGCTGCGTGTACGCGAGGTTTACCCCTGCCCCATTTACCAAAGCAGAAGCCTATTAACTGCCTGGAAAGAGAATATATTTATCAGAGCCCCTCTATTATTAATCAGTGCAGAGTTAAAAGTGAATATGTATCAGAGCAGCTGAATAAGGTTGAAACACGGTCTGGATTCAGATGGTCTCACTGGGAGTATCAACAGTGCAGCGCCTTTTCAGCCCAAATCTGAACAGAAAGAAGTATGACTTTCATCTCCCCTGCTCTGCAGTCTCTGCGGTTACAAGGCCTGTAATTATACATAGATTAAGGGGGAGTTGGGATGGGTCTATGTCCTAAAATGAATGCTTTAGAGGAGATGACACAGTTTTGAAAAAGTTGAAGCTTCACGTTGATATGCACAGCTTGCTATAAGAGTGTGATTCATGCCTCTCTGAATGCACTCTCTCTGAATTTTATCACGGTCTGAGTGATTATGGCAATGCAGCTTCCCTGCAAGGTCTCTATTTACTCTATTTATTCTCCCTGCCCCTCTCTCACTCTTTCTCTGTCTCTATCTCCCCGTTTCTGCAGCCTGTGAGGTGGGTTTCTATAAGCCGGTGGCAGGCGATGGTCTGTGTGGTAAATGTCCTCAACACAGCCACTCAGAGACCAGAGCCGCCCTCTCCTGCCCCTGTGACACCAACTACTATCGGGCAGCAGATGACACACCGGCAGCTCCATGCTCCCGTAAGTACAAAAACACCGTGTACCAGAAAGCCCAGTCCCACAGGCAAGGTGTGGGATTGCCTTGAAAAAGTGAAAAGACGTGCACATAAACACACTCAAACAGCACACAATAACCATGACACGATGTGCTGAACTTATCTTTGCCTGAGAAATCGAATTTACTTTTTTTTCAGACATGATCAAACCTCCGAATGAACTCAAATCTCTCTTTTCTCCAGGCCCTCCATCTGCTCCAGTAAGCGTCATCTCCTCAGTCAATGGGACCTCCGTGAATTTAGAGTGGGACCGTCCTCTGGATACAGGGGGTCGCAGCGACTTGCAGTACAGCGTGTTGTGTATGAAGTGCTCAGGAGAAGGAGGGCCCTGTGAGGACTGTTCATCCTCCCCTGGAGGCATCACTGGTGGAGGGAAGGCAGGTGGAGGGGCAAGTGTTGGGGCAGGGGGAGGAGGGATGGTGGAGCGTTCGGGCACGGCTGCGGTCCGATTCGTTCCTCGCCAGACCGGGCTGAAGGAGTCTTGGGTGACAGTGCTCAACCTGGTGGCCCACACCAACTACTCCTTCCGCATCCTGGCCATGAATGCAGTGTCACACCTAACCAATGAGCCAACACCTTACGCCGTGGTCAACATCACAACGAACCAGGCAGGTAGGGTTCAGAACAATGACGTACTGGAAATCATTACGAGGAGTTTAGTAGGCAGCACAGTTAATCACAACCTTATGTATATCCAGTGTATTTGGCTTGTACTTTTCCTCAAAATAAATTTTTCTGTCTGAAGTGCGATGAGAGGAAATGATCTTGGTGAAGAGTCAGCATTAGGTTAGGTGTGTATTTGTGACTTCATTACTTCCTGGTCCCCACATATATAATAGACGTTTTTCTCCAGAGGAGCTGGAGAACAAGCCACACCCTCCACACAAGGATCTGTAAAGTGTAGAAATTCAAAAACAGAAGATAGTAATACAAAGAACTCACAAGAAACACAAAAAAGAAACAAAGAAAAAATTAGGAAATATAAAACTGAAAAAAATACAAGGAATGTAAACTAATATGGAGTACAAGGATGTAAATTCCAATTTGAAGCCTGTAGCTCAGTGATCGCCATGCTAATGGCTACTTTCTCAGAGACTTTAAAGTAGAAACAATTGAGTTGTATGACAGAGATTTTGAAATAAAAGAGAAAGTGTCTTAACAGAAACTGAAAAAGTAATGACAGCAGAAAACGAACTGTGAGTTCAAGAGAATTCGCAAGTAGAAATGTTTGTAAGTCTTTTGGTAAAGATTTAAAGAGTTTGTAAATCTCTCACAAATACATTAAGGAGACTTTCTTTATTTTCTGTCATTTATATTCTGTTACAGTGGTGTAGTTTCTAATTAAAATAAAGCCAGTGAATATTAAAGAGATCCCTGTGAGGCAAAAGCACAGGCGTCAGACAATTATGTCTACTCTTGGATCTATGACATCACGGATGTGGTCATCTCAGGCCCAAGGCTTTAGTAGACACAGAATCTCCACCCTCCTTACAAATCTCATGCTCTGAGCCATTCAGAAATAAGTTGGCTTAAAGGGAGTGTGGTGTTAAGTAATAAAATAAATAATCATAAATACAAAATCTGTACGTGTAGCACATAAAGTAAATGGATGACAACGGCGTTACAGATCTATAAAGGTGCACTGAAGCAGGATTGTGACTGGTTTATATTGGTAGCATAAGATATGATTGCATCAGTGGTGCATGTTCATACATGCAAGTGCACACATCTAACCTGAAATAAGTCAGTGTGAAAACTATATAATAATCCGAAGCCAAAAGAAGAGAAATGTCATGAAAATTAAATGAAATAAAATGTTTAAATCTCAAGTTTAAAAGTCACCTGTGAGTTATTGGCGACTCACTTGCAGTCACATCATTCGGAGCCTTGGCTCTGTATCAGACATACTTTTCTCACTTTGTAGTTCTTTTACTGTCAAATGTGCAGAAGTGCCAAAATAACAATATTTAAAAGGAATGTGCTGTCTCAGTGACATTTTGTGCTGATAATGAAAAACAGGTTGTGCAATGTGCACTTTGTTTCTGTAAGGACTAGTTGGAATAGTTGCTACTGTCAGCAAACAGAACTCATGGCTAACTTTCTTCTATTCTCCAGGCTGACGTCATGAACAGAACTCGGCCCATTTCTGTTGTGATGAATGTGACAGCAATGACTTGTAATCAGTCTCTGGTTGACTAGTTGGAAGTAACTGTTAGTGTCACTCACTGACTAATGCATGTCTCCAAAAGGACGTCTGGTACAAATGACAGGAGGTGAAAAGCAGTGTTTGTTCTTTTTAATACATCTGTAATACAACTTTGAATTAATTTTAAGACCAAATGTGAGTACAGCACACAAGTAAAAAGCCAAGTTAATACACTGATAACAATACAATATTTTTGTGCAACAGAATTACATTTAATCTAGGTTTAAAGTAAGACTTCATCAAGAAATCTTTTAATCTTTGTTAATTACACCTTGCCTTGGGCAACAATTAGAACCTCGATCTTATTAGCAGTTAAAATTCTAGAAACTCTAGAAATAAAGTTGGACGCCATCAGCGAGTGAGTTGCAGCTTAAAGCTAACAGCAGGTGAAAAAACAAACAAAACAAAAAGCCTGTCAGAGTAGGCCTTTACTTACTTTATAGTAACCTCATCTCCTTACGCTCTGTAACCATGGAAAAACATCTAGAGTTGACAAAACCTTGTCTTCCCTGTTTCTTGTGCAGCCCCCTCTGAAGTGTTAGCGATCCGGCAGGAGAACACCAGTCAGAACAGCGTGACTCTGCTGTGGCACGAACCCGATCAGCCCAACGGAGTTATCCTCGAGTACGACATCAAATATTATGAGAAGGTACGCCAGTTGCTACATCTGTACCACTCAAGCCTTAAAAACAGTTCTGTAGTCACTTGTTTGAGGCCGATGCCAACCTATTGTGCTTATTTTCCAAAAAGAACTTACGTGAAACTCTTCAGGCATCTCATGAGAGGAAAAACTGTACCTGTAAACGCATTGTCTTCAAAGGGCCTCGACTAAGCTGAGGCACAATATTGTGAAAACAGAGGAGTGACGGTTGGACAGACGCAGGATAACTTAATACAAGAAAAAGACCCTGCTGGCAGCTGAGCTACTTGAAAGGAAATGGGGTTTTGAGAGAATGAGAGCCAGAAAGCGAATGAGACGGTGTAGTTTTTCAACTTAGCGAAAGGGACAGTGGCTTGGCGGGCGTGACCTGTCGATAAGCTAATTGCCACAAGTGTTTGCCTGAATGTGCATGTATGTGCATTTGGGTGAGTATGTGTGGTTTTGTGTGTGTGTGTGTGTGTGTGTGTGTGTGTGTGTGTGTGTGTGTGTGTGTGTGTGTGTGTGTGTGTGCGCATGTATGTGCATTTGGGTGAGTATGTGTGGTTTTCTGTGTGTGTGTGTGTGTGTGTGTGTGTGTGTGTGTGTGTGTGTGGTTTGATAGAAATCAGCTAATTGCAGAGGGAGCAGCCTGAGAGCCGGCGGTCTCATAGCCAAACAAGCAGGATGGTGTGGGGAGTTCTGAAGGATTAGCTCGTCTCTTGCGCTGCTGTCTTAATCTGGCCTCGCTCAGGGGTGAGACGCCTGTGGGGGATTTTCAAGTGGACAAGTCAGCAATGTGCTTTCGTAAGGTTTTTTAGTACTGTACTGAACAACAGTGAGTCACGGCGAGGATGGTGGCTGCTGCAGCTGACGATGATGAAAACAAGAGAGAGCCAACACTTTATAATTTGGCTGTTATCCTTCCCCGGGACACCCAAATGATTCAGCTGCTCTACTGTCTCCATGCACCTTGTAACTCTTTATATTGTTTTGTTGAGTGTTTTTCCACCACACATTTAAAATATGTCTAAATTATTGATAATGATATGATAATGATGAACATGATCAAGACTTCAAAATAGGAATATGATAAACTGCACATCCCCTTTTTGATGAATATGTACATGAAAACAGCTGAATTTTGTAACACAGATAGGTATGCATAATAATATTGACAATTCACTTTTAACTAAAAGATGCATCACAAATGAATCGAATATCAAAAAAGAAACAAGAAAATAGGACAAACACGATTCAGGGTTCATTTTTCTGACTGACAGAAGCAGATGAAAAGATTTTCTGAGGCATTTACATGGCAATAAAGTCTAACTGACAGAGCAGGTTATATTCATTTCCTGTGTTCAGCATTGGCTCTAATGAGTCTACTAGTTAAAGAAGACTGTAAGAAATAAAGTGAGTGTTGTGATAGCTGTGGTAGATTCAGTGTGATCTTCCATTTTTTTCAGTCGTCTTTAAAGGCACTTACAGGATAAATCTGGGCTGCAGTTTCCTTATTGTCACCGAATCCTATAATTCTGCCTCATAATTCATTACATCTTTTCTACGGTGTCTGCAAACCTCAGATCCAGGTCCTCTGCTTCATACTGAAGAGATTCATCATAAGAAATGGGCCTCAATAATAAAGTGTGATTTCCAAAAAAAGCTCAGTTACTTTTTTAAAACAATGGTGGCACTGTAGCTTTGATTAAATATTACTCAAACAGGTGGAAATGCTGCATCTTGTTGAGGTCTATTGTCAGCCATGGATCAATACACATTTGGCGCTCTGGTGGGTTTTCATGGAAGAATAATAGCGCATTTGGAAAGGAGTCCAAATAAACTATAGTGTTCATGCATTCATGTGATAAATGTAGTTTAAATTGTTGGTTTGAAGAATATCATCTGCCTGTTGTTTAAGTTTGTTTTTGTTAAAAATGGAATACACAGTAAAAAGTTTTTAATTGCCTACAAAACACAGATGAGGATGCAATATAAAAAGAAAGAGAATGAGGAAAAAGTCGGGTTGCTAAGCAGCTTGCAGATGTGTAGCAGCTGTGGGCAGATAAAGCATCTTAAATAATGTGTGCTGTATGAGATTTACTAATTGTATGTGTACAGCAAGGTAAGTTTCCATGTATGGCACTATTCACACTGAGCTAAGTGTTTTATAGAGGCATAGAAAGAATAAATAGCATTTCTGTTGGAGAGCTACTGGGATTACAACTGATTTTGGTTATTTATCTATCAGAGATGATGATGAACACTGATGATGGATCAGCCCACTAATTTGGCTGAATCAGTAGTTAGCATTTCCTTCAATTTTTTGTGTCCATTATTCTTGGCTTGTTTGCATCCAGTGTGTGCATGAAGTGTGTAAGCAGAACAGCCTGCAAGACTGTACGTTGGACTGTGTGTTTTTATATTGGGACATATATATTTGTCTTTACTGTGTGGTTTTATTTATTATTTGTAGAAAGGGTGTATATAAAATGTAAATAAGAACAGAATCCACTGACTTGCAACTCTCATGGCATATCATGAAATGAAAACTATGACTAAGAAGACCTGGGACCCAGGACTGTTGTCTAGATCAGACAAGAATGGGACAGCATCCTCTCCCAAAAATCCAGTACAGACTGTTATTAAAAGAAGCGACACTGGTAAACATCCCAGCCTAATTGCGTTGCCTTCATCTAATTTAAATGAGCTTAAAATTGCAATTTTTCTAATTTAGAAATTGGGACGTTTCTGTGTTCTATTATAAACAAAATACGGGTTTATGTAAATCATTACATTGTGCTTTTGTTTACATTTTAGACAGTCTCTCAGCTTTTGGGGGTTATGTCATTATTCTTTAAAAAAAACACATTTTGAATGAAATGTGGGATTTTGTATCACTGCTTTAGAATTCACTTGTTCATTAATAAGAAATAAAGCCACTCATGTAATTGTGTGTTAAAGTAAATATTTTAGTTTTATGTCAACCCAGAGTGTTATATATTGCAATTTTTGTATCTCATTGTTATGTTTTTTGCAGGTGGTCCTGGATGCAGTAATATATATATAAATATCGAGGACCTGGGTTTGTCAAGAAAGAGACTTTGATTTGCAGCTTTGTGTTTTCCACTTGATTTTTTCCCCCCAGTCTGCTAATATTTTAATTTTTTATTCACTTTTCATTGTGGTATTCAGTCACAGGCTTAGTCACAAAAACAGTCTAGCTTAGTGTAGACCCTAAAGGTTTCTTGCTTAGATTTGGTCTTGCTGTTGTTACAGTTTAATGCCTCGCGCACTGATGCCAAATAACAACTTGAATGTAAAACGTGCTTAGCAAAGCATTTGTTTAGGAACATTACGCCACACCTCGAGAATAACAGCCGACTGATTTAATTCATTTCTGAAACACATTTTTGGAAGTCACACCAATCTTCACAACCCTAATCTTTAGATGTATTTGTCATTCTTGCAGGATAATGAAGAGCACAGTTACTCCACTCTGAAGTCCAAAAACACCAGCGCCCGAGTGTCAGGGCTGAAGCCAGGTACCAAGTATATCTTCCAGGTCCGAGCCAGAACCTCAGCAGGCTGCGGACGCTTCAGCCAGAACATAGAGATCCAGACTGGGAAAGCAGGTGTGTGTATGTGCGTGTACACTGGTCTGCGAGGAGAAAAGAAAAGAGAAAACGCTATATCGCTAAATTGTTTGGTAAAATCTCCTGCTCTCCATGAGTCACTAGAAACCTTTGATACACTGGGAAAAAAAAGTCCAGTAACAACAGTTAAAAGACTATCACCTCAAAGTCAAGCCAAACAGCACAGCATGGTCCTAGGCTGGAAAGGTTTGGGTGATAACTGCCCCAGTCCACCCCTCTGTTCCATTGATCTATGCTTTGTTAGAGGGTCACCCCTGTCAGCAAAGCTGCAGCCTACACAGGCTTCAAACAGCTAAACACAGTGCTGCTGTGGGGTAGAAGTTTCATGTCTTTCACCTGAAGTAAGAACAACACAGACTGTTACAGAAAACTTCTATTCGAATATTTTTCTTTCCTAATAAGGGATTTGGCAGATAATGTCCTGAGCAGGCGCTAGGTCTGCAAAGCTCAACCACCTGCCTAGTTGGAGTCCCAGTGCTGTTTCACTGACTAATAGCCTCCTTTCGGAGGCTGTTCACCGGACCAAACTCTCGCTGACTGAACAAGAGGGCTGTACACATTCCATGAGCCTTCATGCTGAGTAATCAATAAGTCCCAAGTTTTGTGATAAACAGACAACAGTTGCCTTTTTCCAGAGCTGTGTGTTTTGCCAACTGCAACTATGCAAATTCTAAGAACGGAGTTGTGCGCAAGCCTGTGACGCTTAACATGAAGACTAGATGGCTTAGTCAGTGCACCACTTTAGTCCACGCTGGGTGGATTCTAATGAACAATGGGCATGTGTACGGTTCCCAGAGGACAAAGATAGAATAACTTTTATTTTGCTGATACCCAACTTTCATTTCCAAAGGTCTTTAGCTGTTTTTGCACATGAACTGCAGCCCTGGGCTTTCCTTTTGCGTGCTTGCATAGGCAACAGTCGAGTTCATGTGTGACAACTGTTTTTGACAGTTATAAAATGGACTGGTTAAATTTGGTCACTTAAAATAAAATATTAAGGCTTTGATGATCCGTATTTAGTTCCAACATCAGGTCAAATTTTTAACTTGTCTAGTAAATTATCCTTTGGCAGAATTCTGTATTGTTCTCTATATATTGTGAAGGTTTGCAGTGGGACCAGTTTGAGGACCATTTGGCACCATCCTGTCTTTTCAGGATTCAGCTTTTTTTAACATCCAGTTCATGTCAGTGTTTGGTAGTGGAGGTTATTTTGCCCTAATCAGTTGACAGTGGCTGGGTAGTCATACAGGCTGTGACATTGGCTCAGACTGTTAAATCTAACATCTATGTGTCAAATCTATATGTGTTTTTTAAGGTTTGCTATTTCTGTTAACCGACTTTCAACAGCCCAGTCCATCCATTTCATCCACATGTCTTGCCATTTTGCAATCAATTCTGACTCCGGCGCAGGATGATGACATCTCTATTCTTAATCCTGACAAGTACAAGACGCTGATTTCATCAGCTGTTTCTGAAACAGAGAAAGCAACTACCAATAGCCACGCAAAAATGTGGGTGAATGTTAGGTCAGCTGTCAATATCACATAATTACAGAAAATTGCCAATAATTTTCTCACACAAAGCTGTAATTAATTCTACCATCATCAACATTTTCAAGCAGACCTTTTGGAGAAAAGGCGAAATTAGTTTCAAACTCATACTGGAAACCTTCTACTGTCACTTTCAATTTACATGATATATACAGTGGGGCAAAAAAGTATTTAGTCAGCCACCGATTGTGCAAGTTCCCCCACTTAAAATGATGACAGAGGTCAGTAATTTGCACCAGAGGTACACTTCAACTGTGAGAGACAGAATGTGAAAAAAAAATCCATGAATCCACATGGTAGGATTTGTAAAGAATTTATTCGTAAATTAGGGTGGAAAATAAGTATTTGGTCAATAACAAAAATACAACTCAGTACTTTGTAACATAACCTATGTTGGCAATAACAGAGGTCAAAGTTTACTATAGGTCTTTACCAGGTTTGCACACACAGTAGCTGGTATTTTGGCCCATTCCTCCATGCAGATCTTCTCGAGAGCAGTGATGTTTTGGGGCTGTCACCGAGCAACACGGACTTTCAACTCCCGCCACAGATTTTCTATGGGGTTGAGGTCTGGAGACTGGCTAGGCCACTCCAGGACTTTCAAATGCTTCTTACGGAGCCACTCCTTTGTTGCCCGGGCGGTGTGTTTTGGATCATTGTCATGTTGGAAGACCCAGCCTCGTTTCATCTTCAAAGTTCTCACTGATGGAAGGAGGTTTTGGCTCAAAATCTCACGATACATGGCCCCATTCATTCTGTCCTTAACACGGATCAGTCGTCCTGTCCCCTTGGCAGAAAAACAGCCCCATAGCATGATGTTTCCACCCCCATGCTTCACAGTAGGTATGGTGTTCTTGGGATGCAACTCAGTATTCTTCTTCCTCCAAACACGACGAGTTGAGTTTATACCAAAAAGTTCTACTTTGGTTTCATCTGACCACATGACATTCTCCCAATCCTCTGCTGTATCATCCATGTGCTCTCTGGCAAACTTCAGACGGGCCTGGACATGCACTGGCTTCAGCAGCGGAACACGTCTGGCACTGCGGGATTTGATTCCCTGCCGTTGTAGTGTGTTACTGATGGTGACCTTTGTTACTTTGGTCCCAGCTCTCTGCAGGTCATTCACCAGGTCCCCCCGTGTGGTTCTGGGATCTTTGCTCACCGTTCTCATGATCATTTTGACCCCACGGGATGAGATCTTGCGTGGAGCCCCAGATCGAGGGAGATTATCAGTGGTCTTGTATGTCTTCCATTTTCTGATGATTGCTCCCACAGTTGATTTTTTCACACCAAGCTGCTTGCCTATTGTAGATTCACTCTTCCCAGTCTGGTGCAGGTCTACAATACTTTTCCTGGTGTCCTTCGAAAGCTCTTTGGTCTTGGCCATGGCGGAGTTTGGAGTCTGACTGTTTGAGGCTGTGGACAGGTGTCTTTTATACAGATGATGAGTTCAAACAGGTGCCATTCATACAGGTAACGAGTGGGGGACAGAAAAGCTTCTTACAGAAGACGTTACAGGTCTGTGAGAGCCAGAGATTTTCCTTGTTTGAGGTGACCAAATACTTATTTTCCACCCTGATTTACGAATAAATTCTTTACAAATCCTACCATGTGAATTCATGGATTTTTTTTTCACATTCTGTCTCTCACAGTTGAAGTGTACCTCTGGTGCAAATTACTGACCTCTGTCATCATTTTAGGTGGGGGAACTTGCACAATCGGTGGCTGACTAAATACTTTTTGCCCCACTGTACTTACTTAACTTTGAAGATATACAGAATGGACAGAGTGAGCATGTTTTGCTATTACTTTGTACACACTAAAAATTAATAATGTGAAAAAATGTACATGATGCAATAACGTCTTTCACGGTAAGTCATAGTAATGGTAAAAGAAAGTACACCATTTCTGCTTCCATAGGAAATCCAACTGAAAGTAGAATCCAAGTGCTGCTGATAAAATGCACTTGCTGAACTTGATTATCTGCAAGCGTGAGCACCTTTATAAAAGCCGAAATTTTAGCAGTTTATTGGTTTTGGAGCATTTGTTAACTTAGTGTCAAGGAGAAAAGGCACCATCAGCAATTATTGCTGCTCAGTTGTCTTGGAAGGGTTATAAGACCAAACTAGCAAACAATACACACACACATACATAAAAAAAAATCCCCTCTCGCCCCTGCTGGTGGTCTATCCTTCGAGCTTGGATCCTCTACCAGAGGCCTGGGAGCTTGAGGGTCCTGTGCAGTACCTTAGCTGTTCCTAGGACTGCTCTCTTCTGGACAGAGATCTCTGATGTTGTTCCTGGGATCTGCTGGAGCCACTCGCCTAGCTTGGGAGTCACCGCACCTAGTGCTCCGATTACCACAGGGACTACTGTTAACGTCACCCTCCACATCTTCTAGGGTTGTTCTCTAAGCCCTTGGTATTTCTCGAGATTCTCGTGTTCCTTTTCCTGATTTGCTATCACTCAGTATAGGTCAGCTGTCAGCCATCTTCCTCTGCTTGTCATTTTACCTCAGGGGCATTTTGAAACATCTGCACCTGAGATCTTCCTGGTGCGGTAAATCCCAGACTCTATCAATCTTGTGCTACCTGATATTCCTGCCAGTTCTTTTTGTACTGATGAACGGGTACATGGCTCAAAACATGAGTGTTTTGAGCATGGTATGAGCCCCATCAGATAGAGGAAATGATCAACATCCAGAAATCCTACCAGTGGCTGGACAAAGCTGGACTGAAAGACAGCACAGAGGCACTAATCATGGTAGCACAGGAACAAGCTCTGAGCACAAGATCCATAGAGGCTGGGGTCTATCGCACCAGGCAAGACCCCAGGTGCAGGCTATGTAAAGATGCCCCTGAAACAATCCAGCACATAACAGTAGGGTGCAAGACGCTAGCAGGCAGGGCATACATGGAACGCCATCAGCACGTGGCCGGCATAGTGTACAGAAAAATCTGTGCTGAGTATGGCCTGGAAGGCTTGGAAGGTCAAAATGGGAGCCGCCCCCTAGGGTGGTTGAGAATGACTGTTCCTGTTTGATTTCCAGATATAGACTGACAAACTGGTGATGGTTAACCAACCAGATATAGTAGTGGTGGAGAAGCAGAGTGATAGACGTAGCGATACCAAACGACAGCAGCATCACGAAGAAGGAACATGGGAAGGTGGAGAAGTACCAAGGGCTCAGAGAAGAGCTCAAGAAGATGTGGAGGGTGAAGATAACATTGGTCCCAGTTGTGATTGGAGCACTTGGTGCAGTGACTCTGAAGCTAGGCGATGGGCTCCAGCAGATCCCAGGAAAAACATCCAAGATCTCTGTCCAGAGGAGATCAGTCCTAGGGACAGCGAAGATACTATGCAAGACCCACAAGCTCAATTGTTTATATTATGAGAGATCACAAAAACCACATTGTGTCACAGGGATCTTCACACCTCGGATATTTGCATTTGTTGGCTTGGAGACTATATTGTTCACTAGTAGGGATGGGTATTGATAAGATTTTAACGATTCCGATTCCATTTTCGATTCTGTTTAACGATTCGATTCTTTATCGATTCTCTTATCGATTCTTTTTTTTTTTTAAAAAAGGAGAACACTAAGGTCGATTAGCTCAGAGCTTTGTTTTATATCTTCTCTTTGAACAAGATAGAAATTTAGGAGTAACATGGCCTTACAAACCCAACAGTGAGATCTTGAGAGATCCAGCCTACGGCTCTTCAATGGGGTGTCACAGGGTCCCCAGGAAAAAAAATTGTAAATGTAAAATAATAAAATAAATATTCTTGTGAGACATATCACATATTGACGGGGTCGGGTTATGTTAAAAAGTATAAATTGTTATACTTTGTTCATTGGTTCAAAGGTACCCCACACTTCTTTTTTTGTTTGCTTGTTTGTTCTGGTGTATTTTTCATTTGAACTGTTACTCTGCCAGAGTACTCATATTTACAAGATGGCATTGAACGCCCCATTGGTGTATCAGGAAAACTATTTTGTACGTATGTTCCTTGAAGGGGATTGAAGTCGTTCTTTTTTCCACCGCAGCGAAGGGCTAGGAGTAGGAGAGGAGCTGCTGTATGTTTTTGTTATCGAATCGATCTGATTGTGAAATAAAGCATATGCAGTGAGAAAGCAACTCCAGGAGTCATCCCTGCCTTAAAGCTGCAACATTCTTCTGTAGCAATAACAAAGTATAACATAAATTGTTCTGTGGCAATTACACAAGAATATCCAGTAATGTCCCTGCCTACAATTAAACACATTCACTTACCAAAAATCGGGGGCATCTGCTGTGGCAAATGGGTGCAAGCCTTTGACCACAAACTTAGACACTGCTCGGTGACATTAGTCTATCCTGGCCTGAAAGGAGACGCTACCGGTAGACTGCAGCGAGAACTGCCAGCATCTGAGCCAGACTCTGTCTGTCTCTCTCATCATGGTCACCTACATGTACAGTAATGGCAGGTCTTGTAATAAGGCAGATTGCGCTAACATAATATGCACTGTTAGTTGATTATTTACCTGCCGCATTAACGGGAGAGGACGTGCAAACGTTAGCGCTGCTGCTGGGTTGAGAGTCACGAGTCCGGAGCGGAATTAAAAACGCGTGTCATCGCGTGTTTTGTGAGCAAATGCTTTTGCATATTCGTAGTGTTTCCTCCCTTAAATGAAATATCTACTTTGCAAGTTGCCCTGTTGTCATCGGTTCTCATAAAGTATAATCAAACTTTTGAGCGTTTGAGCCGCTTAGGCGCCGTGTTCCTGCCAGGTAAATGACGCTCCGCAACGTGGTGACGTCATTCGGGGCGACTGGAATCGATAAGGGAATCGTTTGCAAAAATGGCAAACGATTCCAAGGAATTGAAACAGTGGGAACCGGTTCTCAACAAGAACCGGTTTTCGATACCCATCCCTATTCACTAGCCTCAAATTTTGATCAATATTTCTTTTCACTCTATAAAAACTCTGTCTTTCTTGTTCCCACATTCACTGCTACTAAGCTCATCTGATAGTTGGTGCACACTTCTAACACTTACTGTGTACTTCAGTGTTCACTGAACCAAAACGTTTAGTTTTATTATGCAGATCAACTCAGACATCGATGTATCTATGTATGACAGTGTACTTAAAGATATAGATGTAATCTTTTATGACAACATTCGGTCTTTCTGGGTATTTGACCACATTAGCTGGATATTTCCTACCTAATGTGATGGACAAACAGGAGGTGATTGTTAAATGGCGAGGCTATTTAACAAAGCTCCAAATTTCTGTTTATCTTGTTTAACCAATGACACTCTACCTGCCACCTGTGTTTACCAGTGTCTGTGTTTGTGTAAACTGTGAGCATTTGTGGCAGCGTTCCCTCAGCTAACACACTGTGTTTGTGTGTCTCTGCAGTTCCTTTGCGTTACAACACCATGACCATCATCTGGATCTGCATGGCCCTGGTGTCTGGTCTGGTCACCTTTCTGGCCATCATCATCTGCAGGAAACGGCAAGGCTACACTTTACCACACTACCCATCTCTGCTGTGTGTGGAACAATTTCTTACACTACTCTTACGACCATGCCTCTTTGTGTAGTTTCTTTTGATCAAATCTCTCGTGTGCGCTGTATTTCTCTCAGCTGTTGCCACCTAAAAATGTGGGAGAAGATATTGTTTAAGCCTGTGTTTGAGAAGTACCATTAGTACCTTTTAGTACCCCTTATGACGTTAAAATGTTTGTAATGCTAGATGCACAAGAAGTCTGCATGCTATATTTTCAAGCTTAAGTATAATGTATGAAGGAGAATTTTGAAGGCTAATATTCCTTAGCCCTTGCTGTCTTATTTAGCTAATTTCCTAACTTGTAATTTCCACCTCATAGTGGTTTTAATTATGTTGATTCATGTCCAGTAGCTTGCAAGCCAAATATTCATACTTATCCCACCCCCCTACCCCTCCCTTTTGATGTCTTTTAGTTACATCTCTGTAGAACTGTACCAAATAATTAATTTCATTGCCCTTAATTAATTTACACTTCAGTGCATATTAGGTTTTTCATTGCCAATAGAAAAAGTGGGAAAAAATATAATGAGTTAGAGAACTCCAGACAAGATCCTGCTGTCGTGACTGGAGAGTTTTTAGCATATGCCACTGAGGCAAAAGAAAAAGAAAAAAGAAGAGTTGGTATTTGAGTTTAGGGGGATGGCCACTTTACTCATGAAAATATTTAACTACAAGGCAATAATAAACCACAAGGGAAAGGTTTAGTTTTTACAAAGAAAGTAAACTGCATTAAACAGCGTTGCAAAATATTAATAGATATAATATATCTATTATACTGATTAAAATTTTAATGCAATATATATCTAAGAAAATAAAACAAAGTAGCCTAGCTAATGCTAGCAGTCATGCTAATGCTAGCATGCATCTCAATTGTTACTCATCTCACTTTTTTAGCTGATGGTCAGTATTTAGTGGACATACCAGGCTCTAGAGCTCTAGACCTACATATTTACCACCTGCTTTTTTTTTCTAATGACCTGCAGGGGGTGAGTCCTGCAGTTGCAAAAACACTTTTTAAGAGTAATTTGAGGTGAAATTCCTTCTTGTTCTGTGATACTTTCCTGATGACTTTATGGGTTCAGTCACTAGTTTGAGGGCATATTGAACACAACATCTTTTAAATTATGGTCCAAATTAGAGTCAGAAATGAGAATAAACCAAGATTTACTTATAACATGGGTGCAGTGCCCCTCAGTTTTACAGTGTGATCAATCATCCTGTTTTAAAACACCAAGGTGATGACAGGGAAACCTCTCAGCTCAAGGCTCTAAAACAGAACTTTACTAACATTAGGTACATGGTATACATATACCAAAGTATACATGTAGGTTGGTAAATGGGTACCAATGGTAAAATCCATCTTATATATACAGTCTATGCTAATAAGCACCATAATCACTTTGTTGCACTCTGGGTAGGTTGTCAGTCACTGATTTATTATACATCTTTATCAAAATAGTAAACTAGGATATTTTTACATGTAAGCAGGAAATGAAATACCCTGAAGTGCATCAGTGTAGACCTAACATCAAAAAACACATGCCCTAAAGCTACAGTGGCAACATTTGAACGTGTATGAGTGAAGAAGTCATTTTCCTTTTCGCTCTTAAATGTACTCCTGGGATGTCTTTGCTTTGCCTTGTCAATATGAATATTGATTCTAATAATGTTGAGTTTTAATTATGTGGACATGCCCATAGAAAAAGGTTTTCTATTATAAAAATGATACCTCACCTCGCCAAACTAACAGAAAGGAATTTTACTCTTTAACCTTTTACCATCCTCCAATTCACCAACAACCAGTCTAGAGTTAGGGGTAGGGTAATTGGAACCCCTGTGTGGAGAAGCTTTTAACAGAAAACATGCCAAAATGATGTATATATAATGTATGAAACTATAAGAAAAGTCCCCTTTTTTCTACATTACATTTTATTCTGCAGCTATAACAAAAAACACCTAGACCACCTCAACCAGTCTACCCCTTGACTGGTTGCCAGTAACACCGTAAAGTCTCACTGCTTGTTGTTAATAAATGACTAAGTGTCAGTAAGTGATGAATAGCTTTGTTAAACTTAGTAATTAATTATGAGCAAATATTGATTTAGTAATTTTCAACTATACTTAGAGTTTGAAAGTGTTTTCCACTATTGTCCTGTATTCATCCCTCTGTATATGTATGGGCATGTGTGTGTGTGTGTGTTTTTGTGGCCGTGCGTGTGTGTGTGTATGTGTGTGCTTTGTATAGACACTGTGGCTATAGCAAAGCCTTCCAGGACTCCGACGAGGAGAAGATGCATTACCAGAATGGTCACGGTATGTTTGGCCCATTTCTCAATTATTACTAATAATAGATTAGATGGCATTCTTTGACAAAGTCGCATTTTCATCCCTGTTTAATAAAGTTCATCCTCAGAGCAAACAATTTTCATCAGGCTCTGAGTGATTACAGGAGAATACACTCCTTGGCCCCTGCATGCTGTGTATTCTTCCACTCCCTCTGTCTGCTCTTTTTTCCGTGTCATTTCTCTCCTCTTTCATCAGGTTTTCCCTGCACACACCGGTGACGGGGCTCAGATGCGATGTTGCTCTCATTCTCCAATATGTGACCAAATGCTAATGTTGTTTATCTTAGTGTCATTCCCCGATGCGAGGTTCTATATCGACCCACACACGTACGAGGACCCCTGCCAGGCGGTCCACGAGTTTGCCAGAGAAATTGAAGCTTCCAGGATCAAAATAGAGAAAATCATTGGTTCAGGTAAAACCATGAACTTGTGTGTGCTCACACACACACACACACACACACACACATACACACACACACACACACATACATACATAGTGAGAATCATTGGCTATGCTAACTTAAAATCATTGGCCGGTGTAAAGGCTGTGGTGTGCAGCAGAGAGGAGGATAGCAAAGTGGAATCAGAGCGTTGCGTGGGGCTGTCAATCAAAGCTCCTCAGACAGGAAGAGAATACTAACACTGTGTCAGCCCCACAATTCACTGTGCTACATATGACTGCTGCAGCCAGAGACAAATAGAAATGTATGACACAGACGCATTCAAACAGTGCAACCACCAGTTTAAAGTTCTGTTGAGCTAAAGATAAGAATGGATTGCTAATTAGCTCTTGGCAGCTTTTGCACATATATGTGAACAGATAGTTTGTAAGTGGGTTGTTTTCTCTTATCTACCCTGGCAAATTAAATGACATGTTCTCATTCACACAAATGGCTTAGGCGTGGGTGGAGGGTGCAGGGAAGCACGACGAATATTTACCATTGTGGAACAGATTTAAAGGCTGAATATGTTTGATGTGCTGCATTACTGTGTTCCTCTGCCATGTTTTCAGGGGAGTTTGGGGAGGTTTGCTACGGACGTATGAGGCTCCCGGGAAAACGAGACATCCCAGTGGCTCTAAAGACCCTGAAGGCAGGATACACAGAAAAGCAGAAGAGAGACTTCCTGGCCGAGGCTTCAATAATGGCCCAGTTCGACCACCCCAATGTCATCCGTTTAGAGGGGGTAGTAACTCACAGTACGCTCCATCAACTACAATATATCATTGTGAAAAATATAGATCATTTTCAAAACTATTTGCTTTCAGACACAGGTGTGGCAAGACCTGTATTAATTCTGAACTGCTTATTCCACTATACTTGCAATTGTGGCACAGAAACTCTAGAGAGGGAGGCCTGCCTGAAATGCTTTGGCAGCACACGTGTCGTCAACATTATCAACTATAGCATGCTAGCTGGGCTGGGGTACCCTTCCAGATGGGCAAACACTATTACAAAGGATGTGTTTATTCACTCTAATGCTTGATTTACAGTACTTCATTAAATCCCGATGCCCTATGCAGTTTCCTAGCTTGATGTACTCTTTAAACTCCTCATTGTAGCTATGCAGACCACAACATGCATATTACTACTAAATGATGATAGTGTATAGTTAAACAAAGTTCAGTATTTTTGTTTTTCCCATTTTCATAGCTCACATTCCAAGTCCAACATTAACAGCTCTGTTTAAATCTTAATAGCGGAGCAGTCCTGGCACATCAGCAGACAAGTGTAAAAGCAAACAACACAAGTCTCTGGGGATTCAATGATTTTATTTATTTTTTTGCTTTTTTGGCTAATTGGAAACAGAGGCAGAGCCAGACTTTTATCTGCTGAGGCTCTGGCCACGCATCGGACCAATCCAAATAACCAACGAAGAAAGCCTGGGAGCTACACATACTCACAGAACCAGGCTTGCAGCTAGCAACTAATATTTTGTCTAGCAAAAATCTTTAATGCAGAATTACTTCACAGTTGTAGTTTTGTCAGGAACATTCAAACAGTGCAAGCACCAGTTTGAATTCTAATTGTCCCGTTAGATTTATCAAAAAATGAGAACGTGACTTTTTGTGGTCTTCCAAATTAAGTATTAATATCAGCCTTACCACACCTCTAAAAACGGTTTGACGAGGCACTGCAGCTTCTCTGATCACACATGTACATAAAGTCAATTTTGTCTATTGATTAAATAAATAAAGTTTCCAGTGAAAAGCCAGTGTTACTACAGTGCATCCAAATAGTATTCACTGTGCTATAATTATTCCACATTTTGTTAAGTTACATCTCCACGATCTCCTCCATGATGTGGAGAACCACACACCTGCTTATTTATAATGTCCCGTAGTTTACATTGTATGTCATAAACCAAGCCATGAAGTCCAAGGAATTGTCTGTAGACCTCCAAGACAGGATTGTATTGAGGTACGGATCTGGGGAAGGTACAGAAATAATTCTGCAGCATTGAAGTACTCAGTGAGCACACTGGCCTCCATCATTCATAAATGGAAGAACCCTTTATGAATGATGACTCTTCCTAGGCTGGTTGCTTGGCCAATCTGAGCTTTCAGAGTAGAAGGGCCTTAGTCAGGGAGGTTACCAAGAACCCGGTGGTCAATCTGACAACCATTTCTGCAATCAGGTCTGTATGGTTGAGTGGCTGAACAGAAGCTACTCCTCAGTTAAAAGCACATGACACTCCTCCTGGAGTTTACCAAAAAACACCAGAAGGACACTCAGACCATGAGAAACAAAATTCTCTGGTCTGATGAAACAAAGATTGAACTCTTTGGCCTGTATGCCAAGCATCATGTCTGGAGGAAACCAGACATTCACCACTCGGCCAATACCATCCCTACAGTGAAGCATGGTGGTGGCAGTATCATGATGTGAGGATGTTTTTGGGCAGCCAGAACTGTGGGACTGCTAGGTTGAAGGAAAGATGAATGGAGCAATGTACAGAGACATCCTTAAAGATAACTTATTCCAGAGTGCTCTGGACCTCTGACTGGGGAGAAGGTTCATCTCCAACAGGACAATGACCCTGACCACATAGCCAACATAACAAAGGAGTGGCTTTGAAACCACTCTAAGTATGCTGTTACAAGCTTGGCACACTTATTTTTGCCAGTTTCTCCCATTATTCTTTACAGAATTTCTTAAGCTCCATCAGGTTTTTCAGATCCCTCCAGAGATGTTCAATTGGGTCCAAGTCTGGACTCTGCGTGGGACACTCAAGAATATTCACAAAAAGTTGTGGCTGTAATTGATGCTTCAACAAGGTTTTGGCCAAAAGCTGTGAATACACTGTAGGTATACTTTAAAGGCTAAAATTGTACTTCCAGTTTCTATTTCATTGTATATCCTTAAATCTCATACTACCATCATATTTAAATATTTTAATCAATTCAAACACCAAAATAAACAGATGAACACACTGTGAAGCTGTTTGGAAAGCCTGGAGAACTATTGATCAAGACTACTAAGAAAGTCTAACTCCCTAAAGAAAATAAAGCAATGCGGGCATTTAAAGACTTTTGCACACAATTTATGATGTAGGCATCCCTTTTGTAACAGCATATACACTGCCAGGCCAAATGAAAAGTCTGTTTCATTGGATCACCTTTACTTTTAATGACAGGACACATTAATTGTAGCATAAGTTTATGCAGTTATTTCCATCCAGAGTTGCATTAACTGTGTGTCAAGATTTTCTATTGATGATGGGAAAATTGGAATACTGTATAAATTCTTCTCCGGCAAATCTCAAGTTTTCTAAATGGGGCTAAGGTCTAGAGTCTGTGGTGGTCAATTCATGTGTGATCATGTTGTCTCAGTGGGCTCAGAGTCCACTGAACCTTGGCAGAAGAAAAAGATCAGTTATCTGGTAATACTGCCTGAAAGCGTAAAACTGGACTTATCAGACCACATGACCTTTTCTCAATCCAATCTTTTTGCTCCCGAGCAAAGTGAAGCCTTTTTTTTTAGTAACTTTACTTGTTAAGTGTTTTTGTTTAAGCTAAATAGTTACTTAGTCCCAGTTCCTGGAGTTCTCTTCATAATGTGCAGGTGGACATGCTCTTACTGAAACATAGCTTAGGTTTATCTTTTTACAATTTGATTTCATCAAATGTTTCACTGATTTCCAATCAGGAACATGTGATATTTTTCTTGATTTCTTACTCATACATGATGTTTCACCACTTCCCTTCCATCCCCTTAGTTGTTTTCCTTGCTTGGTGCAGGCCAGTAATCGTACCCTTCTGAAAAAGAGTAGTATCTGTTCCACAACCATGGGGCATGTTTTCTAGCATAAAACGATCATCACTGCATTAAAAAACAACCTGTTGCCATGTGAATCATACTAATCAAAGCAGATTCAATACAAGGCTTTTATCTATTTTGGTAACTTTTAGCGCCTCTTTAATGGAAATGGTATGAGTTGGAAATCTATGGATTAGAGAAATAAAAATCTAATTATATGGTTTTATGGTTTATATGGTTTTGTTGAGATTTAGATGTATAATTTAGCTGTCTCATTTTGGTTGAAGAAGATTCACATTGTGCTGGAATTCCATACAGCATGTAATTTAATAAATGATACTGTAGATAATAATGTAGAGGAGACAGCCAGTTTGGGGGTGGGTGGGTTGTACAATGTGCAGCTTTGAAATACTAGAAGAACATTCCTAGATGATCACAGATTCAACATCTCTCTCTTGCGTATTTTCCAAGTTGTATATATAACTGTCAGCAACTTTTCACAATTTATTTGAACAAATTGCTACAGTAAGCAGCTACCAGCGAAGTGTCGCATTCAGACCTTCCTTGAGTCTAATTAAATTGTTGTCTATTTGTGTGGAAGCACTACAGACTCACAACTTAATTAGAATTAGTATGCAGTGTCGCTAAAGACAAGAAACTCTTCCAAGAAACCACCTGTATAGTTAGACACTGACAAGTAAGAGAGAAGGACAGAATATTACAGGTTTTTGAGTGATCGAATCCCTTTAAGAAAATAGAGGTAAACACATTAAATAATAGAATTAAGACATTGCATCTGTTTTTATTCAGCACCTGCATCACTTACTGTACAGTGTGTACAAACAAATAAATAGCTGATATCCAAATAAGCTCATAAGGTTTTTGGTTGGTGTTTCCAGGCAAACCAGTGATGATCATCACAGAGTACATGGAGAATGGTTCTCTGGACTCCTTCCTCCGGGTTGGTATTTAAACTCTCAGTTAAAGAGCTCTATACTCCTTTTTCCTTTAATGCCATCTCATTTCAACTGTTTTAGTGCACTTCTGACTGTTGATGAGTTGTTCAGCTAACAGTTTGTGTAATGTCTTCCTTCCTTTGATTTTCTCCTAATGCGTTAGTGGAGGGGTTTGTGCTACTCACTTTCAAATGCTAGCTGCATGTCCAAGAACTCAACCCACTGTAGCATCAGAAATAATATGGTAATAGACCAAACACAAAACAGCAATCATGTTCAGCAACTATTGAAATGTTCATGAAACTTTAAAGAAAAGTGTTGCCTTTTGGCAACCATCTTGGTAATGCCTGGGACAGTTATTGTGAAGCTCCTATCTTGGATGGGGAAAGACCCATAGCTGTCCTTTCAGTGATCACTGGCACATAAAAAATGAGATCTGTCTTTTAAAATGCTGTTCATTCTAAGATAAATGTGTCTGGCTCAGTCTACATGAAACAAATTCCATCTTCAGTTTTTCTATGCAGTAAACCAAGAAAATAAATCTTTATCATGAACCGTAACTACGTGCATATATCAATGCAGCATTATAATTGTCTCATATTTTACCCAGTTTCTGTTACTGACTTGGTCTTTTTTGGGCAAAAACTGGACAACCACCATCTGCTCTGCTGTGAAATTTCACTATATATTTATGTTCAGGACTCACCGAGTGCCAAAACTCTGTTTTAAAATCTCTCCAATAACACATAACGTGGTTGTGCAAATGAGTTTGTGCCTGGCTGTAAACTGCCCCTGGCACACACACACACACAGAAATGGAAAATTAAAATAAGGCTTTGTTTTTCATTTATACTCAAATCTAATTTTGAAGCAACCTATTCATGAAGCTTTGATTCACAACTTTCATTAGTTTTCTGGTGTTTTGTCAATTTCACTATGTTTCCCCTATTAACATTCGTCAGATGGCTAGTGAACCACCACAGGTAGGTTAGGAATAGATTTGTGTTTAGACACGTTGGATAAGCAGTTTCAAAAACTGCTCGTGTGGCCTTTCAGATCATCTCCCTCACGCATTTTGGCCTCTCACCTCTGTGATAAGATTTCCATTTGAGTATGCCATATAGGGAAACACTACATACAGTGCGTTGGTATGAACCTAGCACTAACTTTACCAGTCATAACCAGTAACTGGTGAACTTTTAGCACTTTAAACTCACCTTAATTCTCATTAAAAACACTGAATCTTGTGCCCTCATTAACATCTTTGAAAAATAGCACTGACACCACAGCAGAGATCAATTCAGTTGTTAAAATGGAAAAAAAAAATCCTATCTTGTGATGTTGGGCATTTTTTCTGTTGATGTTTGGTGTTTGCATGTTTCAGAGTACAGTGACATTACTGACAGTGTGATGCAGAGCTGTTGCAAGGAGTTGAGAATAGTGTAGAGGAGCAAATATGAAAGTTTTCTTTAACATCATGTATAGGTTGGTTTAACATTGTATTACATTGACAATGTCAAACAGCTCCTGTATTTGCTCATATGATAATACAGCAGATTATTACTTAAAGCAAATCCCTGTCATGTTTTATTCTCTTATCTTTACTCTTTGCTCTATCTTGATTAAAATCTCTTCTATTATCACTGCTTATCTTCTCAGCTGCTATGCCATCGCATTATTTTATTTTTTTTGATCTAGCCTTAATACTCTACCTCCCTGCCACTCCCTTCCTGATCTTTAAATTTTTTTTGTTCCTTCTTGCAGAGACACGATGGCCAGTTTACCATTATCCAGCTGGTTGGCTTGCTGCGTGGCATCGCAGCCGGCATGACCTACCTGTCTGACCTGGGCTACATCCACCGCGACCTGGCCGCGTGCAACGTCCTGGTCAACAGCAACCTGGTGTGTAAGGTGTCTGACTTTGGGCTATCCAGAGTACTCGAGGATGACCCAGACGCTGCATACACCACCAGTGTGAGTTTTCACATTGAGGCAAGCATTAATGCAGCGACACACTCACACACACACACACACACACACATGCATGCAGGTGTGATATTGTCTCCTATTAACTTTGCTATAACACACAAAATGACATATGATTTAAGATGAATGAATGACATAATAATTAAAATATTTGTATAATAACACACTTAATGTAACATAATATTACTAATTACTAGGAATGATCTTTTTTTAACAATAGAATATGCATTTAACTTAATAATGTTTATTTTGCTTATAAGTGACAGTGAAAACTGGAGCAGTGGAGTATAGGCTAATGGAGATCATAGATCACGGTTCACTTTTCCTTCTCTTTAACTCAGTTGTAGTTGTCTCATTCTAAATGTAAAGGTTTAACAACATAAAGCTGTTTATATCTGCAGCTTATTAATACAATTTGTCCTGCCGTTATTTAAAAATGCTTCTGTTGTGCCTTATCTCCCATAAGATCTTGCCGCTTTTAAAGAATAGCCACACTAGCACCACACCAGAAGCTGGTATATCTTGATTCCCGCTGATTCCTTTGAGGCCCCAGTTTTGTGTAAATGCCCAAATAAATTGATGGAGCGCCTTTAATTGTGTTGCTCAAGGCATCAACTTCAGTAAAATATAATCACATTCTGACCTTTAACTATCTAATGATAAATATCTATGCTACACTTTTATGAACACATCGAGCTTCTGAGATTATTATCACAGCATGTCTGTTCTGTCTCCACAACTGTAGAAAATACATTATCCAACACATCTTAAACTATAATTGGTGTTTAAAACCAACACACACACACACACACACACACACACAACATATATATATATATATATATATATATATATATATATATATATATATATATATATATATATATATATATATATTGCACATATTAGGGGTGCAACGATATTCGTATCGATATTGAACCGTTCGATACAGTGCTTTCGGTTCGGTACGCATATGTATCGAACAATACAACATTTGTAATTTATTTTATCAACTTTCCTTCTGATGATGCTGTCTGTGTTGAGCGCTCAGTGGATCTGTGCTCGACAGTGCAGCCTAGGCGGAGTAGTTGACCGCAGATTCACTGAGCGCAGGGCAAGCTAGCGAGACAGAAGTTAAGCTCTCCTTGCAACAAGGCAAATTGAACCTCCCCCACCCTCATTCAGATCTGGCGTTTGGAACTATTTTGGTCTTCATGTGACGTATGACCCTGAAGGTAAGCGCGTCATGGACTAAAGTAAAACAGTATGTTGGATGTGCCACGCAATGCTCAATTACATGGGTGGGAACTAGTGTGTTAGCGCAGTTAGCTCGTTAACGTGTTGGCCGTCCAGCACCACGCACGGGACGATCAGGGGTAGCTCGTTAACGGAGATTTGCCCTGTTGTGGCGTTAACGTCATTTCAACGAGATTAACCTGAAAGCACTAGTGGGAACACAACGAATATGACTGCACATTTACGCCGACATCATCCTAGTGCAAAGACAAGTGGAAGCAGACAAAAACAACAAGCATGCATGCTACAAACTTTACTCGAGTCACTTAGACAGCCGTTAGCACATGATTCTCCTTATGGGACCTGATATCTTTAATATGCTGCTGAGAATATAGCCCAGAAGAAGCGTATAGTATAGCTTTTATTTTGGAAAGAGCCATTTCTCTGTAATAAACTCTCTTTTCCAAAGATGAGTGATTCCTCAATCAGATACAGGGCTGGCAAAATCGGTAGCCCGACGTCCCGGGGCTAGCGATTTTTCCAGTTGGGCTACCAAAATCTATCTCTGCCCTGCCCGTCACGCTATTGTAGGAAGGAAAAATATATGTCAATGCTTTTGCATTCTTTCGGAAATGTAGCTGGGTAATTATGTCATTGGCATCGATGAGCCACTGTCAATATGTGACATATTGAAATGGCGTTTGAATTTGCGCTTGTTTTTTGCTTTCACTTTGCAATCGTGCGAACTGTGTATAGAGAGCGACAGCACTGATTGGTGAGTGATGATAATTTGCGCACCAATTCCTCTGACATCGTCTTATCAATCGTTAGCTTACTATGCAAACATGACAAGTGAAACCTCCCGCAGCTTAAACATGTGAGAGGTTGATCGCGCAGAGAATCGCTGAGCTTATGTGAGTCCGTGTGTAAAAGCAGCAGGATATATATTTCAGTTCTGCTGAGCCAAATAAGACAGGTCAGGGTGAAGAAGTGACAGCCAAAGAAAAGCTTACCACAAAACGGAGAAGTTATGACAAATCAGACTATAAGGCAAAAAGAAAGTGCAGCTTTATGGTTTCATGGACAAAATAATTTCTGTGGCTGCAATATGACGAGCTAAATAACCAGGGCTGCACATAAGTGGTCCGCAGGTGCGCATTCGCTGTCAAAATAAAAAACACGCACAAGATAAGAAGTTGCAAAGTGTGTTTGCGTACATAAGATTTTCTGGAGGAGGACAGACATTTGTTTAGAACTCTTAAAGATGTCAAAGAAGCTCCTTTAAGCAATTACTTTGGTGTTCCTCCACCTCCAAAGAAATGTCAGAAGGAGTCCGAACCACAAAAGACGCGCGTATTCTCGGAAAAGTGGTTGCAGGAGGTGAGCTGGCTTCAAACAAATGATGAACGCACAGAGATGTGGTGCAGAATGTGCCGTGAAAATCCCACTCTAGCGGACAAAAACAGTGCTTTTTATATGGACGCAAACGCGCGCTGCAACTTCTTATCTGGTGCGTCTTTTATTTTGACAGCGAATGCGCACACGCGGACCACTTATGTGCACCCGTGTAAATAACATAATGTTCTGCCGGGTGTGTTGTTGGCTTTCTCTCGATTTCTGAGTCGACAAGCGCCTTTGTTACTGGGACCAGTCATTTTAAGAAAAGCCCCCATTAGAACCCATGAGAAATGCAAGAAATGCATTTTTGCTCAGTCTGCAATATCTTTCCCAGAACAAACACCAATTGCAAATAACATACAAAAAATAAACCTGAAAAATCTGTTTAGAACAGCGTACTATGTTGCAAAGAGTGAACTACCACAGGCACAATTTAGCAGTCTTTGCAAACTTCAAAAAGCAAATGGCCTAGATCTTGGTTCCACTTGCCTCTTACTTGTGACTTCAGTGGAAATGTCAGATTCAGGATCTGACACAGACTGATTCATGTCCTACACAGTTCTTACAAGTTCATAGAAATTTCTGTTCAATTAGAACCAAGTATTTGAGTTGATGATTGTAATTTTTATACAATGTTGTAATTTGTTTTTCAACAATTTTTTGATTAATGTTTTGTTTCCTTTACAATATTATACTTTAATGTATAATATTATAAAGGAAACAAAACATCAATCAAAAAAATGCTCTCTTTTTTATTCGGGCTACTTAAATTTATTTTGGGCTACCAGAGATTTTGAAATTTTGCGAGCCCTGAGATATATATTTTTTTTATTACTTTTTTGTTTCAGCAACATTAAATTTAAAAACTGTACTTTTGAGTTAAAATATATATTTATAATTTTAATAAATGACAAATTAAAAAGGCATGAACATTTTTTTTGTATCGAAAAAATATCGAACCGTGACACCAAAGTATCGAATCGAACCGTGAATTTTGTGTATCGTTGCACCCCTAAAAAAAAAAAAAAAAAAAAAAAATATATATATATATATATATAAATATATATATATATATATACATATATATATACTGGTTTTCTCATCACTCTTGTAAATCAACCATTGCTAAAAATATTGTATAAATATATATATATATATATATATATATATATATATATATATATATATATATAATATATATATATATATATATATATATATAATATATATATATATATATATATATATATATATATATATATATATATATATATATATATATATATATATCATGTTAATATTGCTTTGTTCTGAGCAATAAAGTATTTCATTTATGTATGGATCCTCTGATTGCTGTGTGCTTGACAAAGTGCTCTTCAATTTGAACTTTATTGTTTAAAATGATGCTTTAAATTTGTACTCAGTCAGCACAAGCCACTGAATTTTGTTCTTTAAAAACATATCTTGATTATATTCACATATCAGATAATTACCAGAATGAAAGTAGAAGCACGACAAACAAAGGCTGGAAATTAAAACACTTTTTATTAGGCGGTACAAATGGATTTTGAGTCAACTGAAAGAGCTACTTTAAAGAATACTCTCATTTTAAACCAGTTTGAAAGAAATATATTGAGTGTTAACTAAAAAAAAAAAGTAAAAGATTCCAGTGCTTTCACATCCAAATCGGCTTCAACCCATGTGTCTATTAGTCTGTAAAAGCACAGCAATCAGATTATAGACACCAAGGTGATTATGTACAGCATCACCCAGTGTGAAGGAGAAACTGATTATGGATCGTGATATACAGACATTATGGCGTCACAATAACACTTGATTGTAGCTGAAGATTAAAACATTACTGCTTGGAAATTATGGAGGTATAAAGCTCTTCTATGGAGTCAAAGGTGGCAGCAAAGTAACTTTGAAGGAATTGAAAGTACGGAAACTTTGGCCTGTTTTAAATGTTTAGCAGAACACCGAGTGTCTGTAATTGGCTATATTTGGTGAGTAACCTTCAGAGGCTTAAAATTACCCACAGGGAGTGATTTGTTTGTTTAGGAAGTGATGTATCCATTTGTCAACTTAATTAAGTGCTAGTTTAATATCAAGTACAATGCAAGTAGTTCACTTGCTAACACTTGCAAGTCTATTCTTGTCCTGAGAACATACACATACACATCGTTGCCCTTTAGTGTGTGCTGTTATTTTCTGCTTTCATTAACATTTGCTGTTAAACAGTGAGCAGGCATGTAGCTCATTTATGAATCTGTTTTACTTTAGTAGTGATTTTATTTAACTAGAGGTTCCTTCCATGGTTAAAATGTTTTGCTCTTTTTATGTTGCTAAATCTCTTTTATTGATGTCATTACTTTTCACTTTTGATATCTGACTAACATCCTACAATACAGTCGAAGATTTTAAAATATCATTTCAGATCAGGCTTTAAGTAGCTTTAGTATTTAAATGCTGTCCTCCCATTGAAGTTTTAGCTACAGATAGACACTTTTACTTAAAGGAAGTGTGTGTGTGTGTGTGTGTGTGTGTGTGTGTGTGTGTGTGTGTGTGTGTGTGTGTGTGTGTGTGTGCCTCTGTGTTTTCTTCCTATATTATACTGAAACCCTTAGCAGAATCCCTAATCACATCATCACTACTTTTTCCTTCAAAATGGTCACAAAAGCTGTTACTCATGACATGACAGCTAAATTTCATGTGTGTTTTAATATACATTATTGGTGCTCTAGGGCAGCAGTTCTCAATCCTTTTCTCAGACAAAGCCCCCAAAGCCTTGTCGGATAAAAACCACCAGCTTATATAACCCTATAAGTCTAGTCTATTTTAACCACTTCCATTTGTTTCACTTTTTCCTGTAAAGTGTTTTCAAATGATCATTATGTAGGTCTGATAATACTTTACCACTCGTTATTTAAATAGATCTGCTAAATAACTATTTTCAAAAATATACAAATTACTACTGCAAGTGATTGAAACTATGCATCTATTGTTTTAGCTAACCATGATACTGATTTATCCTTTAATGACATGTTTACCTACTTATCTATTAAATTGACTATATTTAAACAATTTATTCATTGCTGAGAACTATCAAAAACATTCAGGCTAACTACTTCTTGCCACAACTACTGCAAGCTTTTCAAATTACTTTTAGCTTATCAATTTAACCCTTTATTGATTAGTAAACTATTTATCCATTTATCTAATAACTGAAACTAAATTCTGGTGCTTTTTATCCATTCATTTAAGCTATTTAGTCAATTTATTGTAGTTGAGTAAGAGTCTCTGACTCCTAAATCTAAATTGTAAGCAGGTTCCACAGTAGAGGAGCCGGACAGCTGAAGCTCTGCCTCTCATACTACTTCTGAATACTTTAAGACCACAAGTAGGCCAACAGTCTGAGACCGTGGAGCTCTTTTAGGATAATAAGGTGCTATAATGTTTTTGTCTAATAATTAAAGGTTTTGTATGCAAGGAGAAGGATTTTAAATTAAATTCTGAATTTAACAGTTACCCAAGGAAGAGAAGCTAATATGGGAGAAATTTGCCTGTTTTCTATCCCCAGATTATTTAGCAGATTTAGTACTCTCACTCTAGCATTCTGGATTAACTTTTCTCTTTTCCAAATATTTATTTATAAGTGACTTATGTATGTATGTATGTATATATATGTATATATTGTACTATTCTTAGTTAGCGTATTGTCTGTCTTGTCTTAATGTTGGTTTAAAATGGAGCACTGTAACAAAAAATAATTTCCCCCAGGGATCAATAAAGTATTCTGATTCTGATTCTGATTCTGATAACTGAGGACTTTTCAGGGAGCTTTTAGAGTGAATGATAATAATGAATTACATAAGTCCAGCCTAGTTTTTCAGCATCACTCTGAGATAGGAATTTCTCATTTTAGCTATGCACATTTTTATTTAATGTGCATGCTGAAGGACATATCCTGATCAGAAATAACTCCAAGACTCCTGACAGAGTTACAGGAGCAATGTCATCTAAAATGATTAGACACCATCTTTCTAATAGTTTCAAGAGTACAATAAACTCAGTTTTGCCTGAATCTAGAAATAAGAACTTACAGGTAATCGAGCCCTTTATGTCATTAGGGACTGCCTGTCCTTAATGACATTAATTGATTTGTATATTCTGGCTTGATGAATGAATAAAGCTGTGTATCATCTGAATAGAACTGCTTTTCTGTTTCTATTTTTAGCATGACAACGATACAAAATGTACTGCCAATGCAGTAAAATTATACCTGAATAGAAAAATATACAGTGTAACACTATCAGTCGTGGATTGGCCTCCCCAGAGCCTCAACCTTAACATGACTGAAGCAGTAAGAGATCATCTTGACAGAGTTCAGATCTCAGGTCCAAAGAAGAGCTTTTGGAAGCACCTTCAAGAATCCCGGAAAACTATTCCTGAAGAGTATTTAAAGAAATTGCTTGAAAGGGTACCTAAACAAATTGAGGCTGTGAGGACGAGGAAAAGTGCATCATACCAAATATCGAATTTCAAGTTTGTTCGAAATGTAGAAACTCTGGCTGTGCTTTTATGTTTGCACATTTTTAAAATAGATTGCTGAAACTATTTTCCATTTTCCTAGCAAAATAAAAAGTGATGAAGGGTGGCACTACACTTTCGCCCACTACTTGATTTAGTATTTATGTTTATCCATTAATGCGACTCATTAAATACTTTAAGCGACTTTTTTACTGCCACTATAACAATTTAATATATAAACTTTTTATGCATTTTATTTTTTACTTTTAGGCAACCAATTAAAAATAGTATTTAGCAATTTAGTATTATTAGACCATTTTAACTATTTACCCAACACTTTAAGCTATTTCAGCATTTCATTTGTTAGTTTACTCTGATCTATTTAGCCCACTTAAAGATGCTTATTTAGGATATCCATCTGTGTGTGTGTGTGTGTGTGTGTGTGTGTGTGTGTGTGTGTGTGTGTACAATAGCAGGATGTGTTAGGGTTGGGACAGGACACAGGCTCTGCGGACACAATGGCAGTGAAACGTTTAGCTCTGGATGTGGTCTGTCTTACATTTTTTCTCCAAATCTCCTCTGTATCCTTGCTTGAACTTTTTTGTCTTCCTGGCAGGGTGGAAAAATCCCAATCCGGTGGACAGCTCCAGAGGCCATCGCATACAGGAAATTCTCCTCCTCCAGTGATGTGTGGAGTTATGGCGTGGTCATGTGGGAGGTGATGTCCTATGGAGAGCGACCATACTGGAATCTCACTAACAGAGATGTGAGTGGTGTTTGCTGATTTAAATACCATTTAGCGACCAGAGATAATGTGATGTTTATTTTTATGCTACACATTGTAGCCTTATGCATATTCTGCTGGACATGTACAGGTGATCAAATCTGTTGAGGAGGGCTACAGGCTGCCTGCTCCTATGGGCTGTCCTGCTGCTCTACACACACTCATGCTGGATTGCTGGCAGAAGGATCGCAACGAGAGGCCCCGTTTTTGCCAGATAGTCACCGTTCTTGACAAGCTAATCCGCAACCCAGAGAACCTGAAATCTATGGACACACTCTGCAGGTAGGTGGGCAACGGAATAAATCCATATTTACAGCGGCACAACATGAGTGCATTATGTCACATGCCGAGGAGTCTTTTTGATTTAATTTGGCAAGACAGCTCGCCAAAATGTAATCAAATATTGGTTCATGTGATTAGCGGATTAAACTGCAAATCAAAGCAAGACACCACCTGCGAGGGCCTGAGAAGATGATCTCCGGGACCATATATGGTGACTGACTGTTAAGCTACTAAGTAACCATCCTGGTGTGGGAGGCAGAGTAAATCCAATCTCATCCCGCTGCTATCAAGCATGGGCGCGGTGGGATAAAGTTGCAGCCTAAAGTTTCCCTCAAAGTTGTCTGGCAGATGAAGTGAGCGGTCATGTTCGTTTTCCAATAAGCTCATCTCTGATAGACGCGCTGTGCATTAAGTAAAAGCCTCGCTGTGATATTGACATTGATCCATAGTGAATCTGGGAGCAGGTTTGAAAGGACACCCAGGCTAAAGCTAGACCTGTGTAAATTGCTCAGTTCAGATCTCAGGTCCTATGGAGTCAATGGTGCATGACACTGTGAGGTGAGAGAAGCAGTAGGAATATTAAGAGGCAGAGAAGCAGGAGGAGTGTTAAACATTTCTCCCTGTGTTAATCTACCCAAAGCAGCCATCCTGCAACCACGGTCACCACCTCTTCTCAATCATTTTAACTGCTATCGATTTCCTGTCTCACATACTCGTGCATTTCAAAAGCCCCTTTTCCCTCAGGATTCTCCCCCTTGCTCACTTTTTGACTCCTCTCCTTTTCAAGCTGCCTTTTTGTCTTCCGATACATCTTCCTGTCTCTTCCACTTCTGATCCACTGCCATCTGTCTTTATTCGCTGCAGTTTAAACAGTCCTACACTGATGGAGAGAGCTATCCCTGACTTCAGCAGCTGTAACTCAGTAGACGAGTGGCTGGACACCATAAAGATGAGCCGCTACAAGGAACACTTTGCAGCTGGGGGGTACCACACTCTGGGTCACGTCATAAGCATGAACCAAGGGTAAGCGCTTCCTGGGGAAGTCTCAGCAGCTCAGAGGCAGTAGTGAGCTGTTAGATGTAGTAAAATCAGCTTTAGTGCTGATTTTACCTGTTGTAGAGTTCTGCTTTGCAATTTTAATTTATTTTATGTATTTTATGACTATTGCTTCTTTTATTAATGTTGTTCTTTTGTAAGATGACCTTGTGTTTTTGAAAGGCGCCCTCAAATAAAATGTATTATTATTATTATTAGTAGTAGTAGTAGTAGTAGTGTAGGTGCTCTACAATCTCTACCAGCTAATGTGAGAGAAAATCACCTCACACAGACCTTAAACTGCTGGACAGGACATAGAATGGCATAGCTTGTGCACAGAAAAGAGGTAATATGTTATATTATAACACTTATTGATTATCATCTCCATTCTTCTGTCCCATGAGCCTCTGAGCTCAGTCGAACACATATTAAAACCTCCCACAAATCTGACCCAGGGGTCAGGAACTTATGCCACCCAGCCTTCAAGCCTGTCCTTCAGCTAGCATCAAACTACATTAGCACAGCTTTCCTATAATATGAAACTAAATCGCTCAGACTCTCTCACACCAATTTCTTGAGTGTCCATTAGTGTATATCCAAAAAAAGGCCTTCTCAAGTATGAGGCGTTATAATATTTGCAGCTGATGGAATTACCGTATTTTCCAGACTACAAAGCGCACCTGAGCGCATCCTGTTTTGTACATACATTAGCCACTACTTTGAAGTTTGTTTTTCGCGCTACTTCGTACGGCACTACGTTACCTGGCGGACGGACATGTGACCAACATACCACTCTTGAACCCCGATACTGTGTGTCTGATCACATGTCCTTCCGCCAGGCAACCTAGTGCCGTACAACAGCGGAACAAACAAAACAAATCCTCTTATGATATCACGAAAATCATGGACAATCCATAGAAAAGCCGCACCTGACTAAAAGCCGCAGGGTTCAAAGCTTGTGCAAAAAGTAGCGGCTTATAGCCCGACAATTACGATAGTCCCTTATATAGTAACACTAGGGTAATGTAAGGCTCACTGAGCTCTGCCATGTCATATCTTTTTTTATTTAATTTTAATATCCAAATTTTGTTGATTGGGATTCTGTTGAAAGTAAACTGCTGGTATGAATCCACAAACCAAGCTGTGCTGCCATGTTCATTTTAGAGAGAAGAGGCTTCGTCTTGGAAAACCTTCTAAACAAGCTGTAGTTGTTCAGTTGTTTTCCTGATCACATGTCATAAACTTTAACACACTAACTGGGGTCTGTAGAGTCCAACTTTCATAAATCTTCAAATCTGATTTGTTTTTGTGTGTGTGCCATATAGGGATATCCAGAGGCTCGGGGTGACATTAATGGGCCATCAGAAGAAGATCATGACCAGCGTCCAGCTGATGAGGGCGCAAGTCCTCAACAAGAGTGTGCCGTCGGTGCACGTATAATTCCAATGCCGTGGTTTCTCTGCTAAAATCTGGAAACCCAGGCTTCTAAAAGGTCACGAGGGACTCCACTGGAAATAAAAGGATCAGAAAACTGGGAGATGTTGGGAACTTTCCAAGACTTTTCTTCAAGAGATGAAAGAACAAAATGTGAAAAGTTTTACTGACAGAACAAGTAAATAATGACTTCTTTGGGAAAAGTCCAACCTTTTATTTTGTTTTTTTTCCCAACCCAATTAAATTTTCTGAGTTTAAATGTCTTGTTTGTAAATGAAAAGACTGCCTTAATTAGCACAAATGATTTTATTGTATTCTACAAAGAGAAAATAATTTATCAATCATGAATTTACCAGAGAAATATGATTTGCGGAACCAGGCAATAGCAAGAGTGGATGGAGTGATGTAGTAAGTGGGGGTGGGGGGTTTAAATGTTTCGATGGCGCTTGAGAAGCTTGAAAAGAATGAGGTCCACAATGAAGCTCGAGCCGGGACAAAAAAAAAGTTGAGCAAAGTGAAATAGGGCTCACCCGAGTTGCCAGATCGCCTCCGCAGTGTAGAGGACCTATTTCACCTCGGGCTATTAATACCAACAACAGGCACATTTCTCCACCGCCCAACCTTGATGAATGACCCCAGGAGAGCCCAAGAGCCCTCTGCCCAGTCTGAAGCTGCACGGCGCACAACTATTGTACTCGGAAGATGTGTGTGATTCAGTTACAGTGCACTTTATTCTACAATCTCTCTGTGTTGTAGAGGTCTTGCAGTTGTGTCACAGATCTCTTTGCAGCCACAACTGCAACTAGATCTTCCTCCAGTCCTTTCAAAAGTTAGCTGTTTTAAAGAATAATAAGGAAATAATGAAGTAAAACATTAATAAACCCAAGAAGTAGAAGAGAAATCTAACATTTATTGGGGTTATACAGTAAATACATTGCTTATGAGATTTATTTCAGTCTTTTCTTCACTGCGTCAGAAAGCAGAAAAGAAAATATGTTGAAATATTATGCACTGTTATTCCATGTGCATAATATTAAGCAATGCTGGCCATTTTTATGGTGTGGTAAATGCTATAAATCGGATGTATTTTAAGTATATTTGGGCATATTTATTCCAAGTGCACTGTCATCTGAAATTCATTTCAAATCAGGTGTAAATGTGACGCAAGATGAATCCGTTTAGTTTGTAATGACCTTGAGAACAGCAGGTTGATGAATTGACCTTACTTCTTAAGTTCACTTGGCAAGAATGTGAGATCAAGCTAGTAAGCGTCGAACTGTTTTCATGCCAATGGTTTTAAAGTCTGTTTTCATCTTATTGTACTTTTCCTACAACATATGTTGTAGGATATCAAAGCAAATATTTCCTGAAACAAAACTATGTTTTATTGTTGCTTGAATGGGTCAGTGTGTCAAATTTACTGGAGTCTATAGGCGGAACTGAAATAGAGGTTTTAAACCTAGGATTTCATTAGTGGCCTGTAAGCACATGTTGTATATAAATGATACATGACACTCATTGGTTTCTGAACATTTTGATGCCTCAAAGTTAGCATTTTGCTGTGTTGCTTTTGGAGCCAGAAATTAGAACATTTACATAAAGGGTTGTGTGGTTAAATAGAGGTTAAGGGTATTAGGCTTGGTTAGCGAGTTGCATTCAGAGAGTCTATGCTTGCAACCCACAGTATCTGCTAATTAGTAGCAGACTAATAAAATACTAGAAGTTCCCTCAACAAAACTGGAGTACAAATTTCTTAGGCAGGATGTAAACCACAGCAGGCCATATTATTTACCAAATAAAATAAAATGCTACAAAGGGCATCGACAGCACAAACATGGCCAAGAAGTCCAGTTCAATGAAAAAAATTAGAGGAGGTGAGGATTTACGAGTGTACTGACAGTACACCTGTAAATCAAAGTGGCTATGCCTCTAACATCAGTATCCAGATTAACACATTATGACAGGAGAAGCTGTCATAAAAGCACCAGGCTGTAAATTTACTTTTAGCTCTCCTAAAGCTGGGAATTCAACGTTCTTCCTGAGATATTAGAGCGATCCAATTTTTTCCGACTTCACAGTGACTTCAAATTTAATTTCCCAGAGGTTACAACTTTATAATACAGCAGTTATTTTAAAAAACGTGTCAGTTTTAGACCACTTCTTATTTATATAGGTGGAAGGGTTATCTTTCACATGGCCTGCCAAGTTACAAGGCCATGAATGGATAAACCTAACTCTGGCTTTTTGCATTGAAGTGAGGCTTTCACCTGTAGGACAGCAAAGGAGTCAGCTGCAATGTGCTACCTCACCATTAAATCTTACACGGTAAAACTATTTTAGGCTGCTTCCTTATTCACGCGTGATTACCATAGTGGAGATTTCCATGTTTGATTTGGCAGAGGTTTTATACCAGATACACTTTCTGAAAAAAACCCAAAGAGCATCCTCCCGGGACCAGTGAACTTTTGCTTTTTAGGTAAACATTTAAACCACTACACTATAGAGACATTGTTCCTTTTCATTTTTAAAAAATAAATTTGTTTTTTATTGCCAGTTCACAGAGCTGTTAAGCTATGTTTAATGAAGGAGAGTGCTAAGCAGATATTTATCTGTTAGCAAGAAAAAAATCTACAAAATGCAAAATAAGTTACATGCATTTGTGAAATAAATGTAGCACAAATTTATATATTTGCCGATTTCCGTTTTCACATAAGAGAACACCTGTTTACTGAATATGGGTGTCAGTGTCCCAAATACTGAGCACCCAATGTTAGCTAAATCTATTCCATGTTGTTACCACCATTACACACAACAAATGTTTGTAGTCCTGATCAGGTCGATCTCAAAGTTCCCCATAAATGACAATGAAAATTACTAAGCATATTGTACATTTTTATATTTTGTACTTAAATAATCCCTTAACTAGTATTCCAGTAATAAGTTACTATAGCTTGCAATTGAAATTAAATATTAGGGTGAAAATTGCAAATTCTGTATCTTCTGAATAATATTTTACTGGGTGTGTTACAACTGGAAGCCCTCATACTATTTTGGCAGTTCATGAACAAAATGCTACAAAGCGTGTTTAGTTCAGTGAAACTTACTCCTGGGATTGAGCACTGACACTATTCAGTGCGATAAATCTGTATCCCAGCGTTCTGTCTTTCAATAATGGGATATAATACACATAAGCTACGCAAACTGTAAAATAAAGTGTTACTTCTGATCAAATGTGATCACACTGTTTACCTCAGTGTTTGAGGGAAAGGTTAAGAAGAACATGTAAGTAGAATGTTTATTTCGAGACACTATGAAAAAGTACATAATCAGTCCTAATTTATACCCCCCTCCCCCCGAGCCATCAGGAGAATGTCTTTTCTTGTGCACCTTGGTAGGTTTTTCCTCTAGATGGTTGATGTCAGTTTTTATTAGAAGAACCTCATGATATTTCATGAATATGTATTATAGTGGCATTTCACTACTGGTTTATTTTTCCTTTAGGATGCTTTTGAAGATACTGGACTGAAAACCCATATTTTATAAAGTTAGGATATGTTTTTGCTAGATGACTTGATTTATAATGTATACAGCAAGTTCAGTCACTGGAAGGAAGAAAAAAATGATAACAACCGAATTTATTCACCTTTCATTATTTATTCATGCTCATTTGTTTTCCAAATAATACAAATCAGAGAGGTTTTATTACAGTCAATGAATCATTCTTGTTGCTAATGATAAATCATTAATGTGCAAACTGTCCATAAATACACAATAAAGGAACGTTTGTCTGTGTGTGACTGCAACAATGATGTTGCGACTGTTTTTAACACAATGGTTTTTACTGTTTTTAATTGTTGCTGCACTAGCTTGAGTCATGAATGTATGCGCAACTTAAGCTTCATCAGAGCTGTTGGTGTTTTTTCACATTTGTTGTTTTAGTCAAATGAGTCCAGAACATGAAGTGTGATGAGCAGTTATCACTTTCTAGTTATTATATGCTTGACTGCATGAGCTGAGGGACTTTCCTGCTGGCACTGATTATTTTGTTATGCAACTGTGATTGATTACATCACTGTCAGGCAGCTGATCTGGGATCTTTTAGATTAGCAAAGCTGCTAGTTGAATTTCTACCTGCTTTGCTAGTATTAAAGACCTCTGAAAAATAATTTTGTAACTGCAGTTGAAAACATGACTGGTTTTAGTAGATTTCTATTGAGAAATAAAAAATATCCTTAAACTAAAATATCTATGTGACAGCATCCCATCCAACAGATGGCTAAAGAGCAGCCAATTTGCACCATGAAAATGAAAACAATTACATGTTATTTTTAAATGTATCTGTGACTAAGTTAAACACAGCATCTCTTTTTACGTAAGATTTGTGTGAAATATACTAAATGTATGTGAGTATATATATTTGAAACATTTTTTATTGCTATAATTCACATTAACAGTCACATCAAGGCACTATATAACTGCAAAGAAAATGCCGTACATTAACAGTGAGAAAACCCAAACAATCAGATGACTGAATATGAGCAGTGACGGTGGGAAGAAAAAAAAACTCCCTTTTGACAGGAAGAAAACTCTGGCAGAATCAGGCGAAGGGAGAGCCAGTCATCTATTATGAACGCTTACCGGTAAGCAGAAAGAGAAGAGAGCGGAGGGAGACAGGACCAGAGGGACACTGTGGGTGACAGAGAGCTTGGGTTTAATAATTACCAATGATTAAATGCAATAGTGGTGTATAAATAGAGTTATACACAGAGACTGAAAAGAGGTGGGTGAAGAAGAAATGCTCAGTGTATCATGAGATGGACTGAGCATCAATAGCCCACAATGACACCAGAAATCCAATATCAGCAAATTCCATGTCAAATCATAACCTCATGGGGTGGTTATAGCTCAGGAGGTAGAGTAGGTCATCTATGAATCAGAAGGTTGGTGTTTCTATCCCTGTCCAGTCTGCACGTCAGATATCCTTGGGTAAGATGCTAACCCCAAGCTGCTCTTTGATGCAGCCATCGGATTATGACTGTGTGTAAATGTTAGATATAAAGCACTTCAATAGAAAAAGCATAGAAAAAGTGCTTGTATGAATAAATGAATGAGGTAAGCTGTATAGAGTGCTTTGAGTGCTCAGGTAGAGTAAAAAAGTGCTGTATAAGAACCAGTCCATTTACCATGGCTTTAAAGACGGAGAGAGAAGAGACAGAGAGCAGATAGAACCAAATTATAATATTCAAAAGGTTTAATATGATATGTTTTGAGTTGAGCATTTACAAGAATACCATTATTGTTAACTGTAAAGGATGTGCATTACCAACTAAAACTACACAACTGAAAATATAATATTATTATTATGTTTTGTTACTAATGTGAGAAAATTAGCACACATGTGATATATTTTAATTGTACATAACGACTGTGATCTGAGAGGCATGTTTTAAACCAGGCATGTAAAGTACCAATGGAACAATAGATTCTAGTCTCTTCAAGAAAATATCATCAGCGATTATGTCAAAGGAAGTATAGTTAGGAGTGCAGAGTCTGCTTACATCAGTAGACCACGTGTGATTTTGACCAGGGCTGTCTCTGAAAACCATACTGAAATTAAGTATTATTAAGGTGAGTGAGGTAAATCTGCATAGCAACACTTTTTCATACATTTTTGAAAGCAAAAGTAAACTAGCACTAGGACCATAATTATTTTCACTGAAAGCGTCTGCACTTGGTTTCTAAAGAACTGGAATTATCACAGCTGTTTTGAGGGGTAAAGGAACAAAGCCAGTGATTAGGTTTTCCCTAATCTGTGTTAATGCCAGTAAAAGGCAAGAAACTGAGAGGACAAGCTGGATTTAACCACATGAGTGGGAAGTGGGTTAAAATAACAAGTGGAAAGTTTACATTTCTTAATAAATTCCAATATTTCCTCAACAATCAGGAGTTTAAGCTAGAAAGAAGAGAAGGGGGATCATTCAATATATTACCTAGAAGACTCAGCTGTTGGCATATTACTATTAAAAATTTGGCAAGTTGTCAAAAAATATTGTTTATAGTAGAGAAAAAAGTCCAAGTATTCCTTTCACCAGACCTTATTAGTGTTGCATAATATTCAGGTTTATCTGTAGACACAGCATCCTTGCAGTGGTCAGTTTTGGGAAGGTTACTTTTAAAATGTATTCCACTACAGATTACAGAATACATGCCCCAAATGTATTTTGTAACATATTCCGTTACGTTACTCAATACCATACCAATAGCAACTAGATCTTAATATAAAATGAGTAACAGTAGGTGGACATTAGGTAAGGCTGCACTTTTCGCAGCGATCTTCTATAGAAAACTATTCCGCGCGTATATAAAACAGGTCCGCAGCTCCGAACCGTAGTAAAGGGACCTCTGGCTAATACGTCGGGTTCGTGTCGGACTCGTAGCTGAAAACTAGCTTTACTTTGTTGTCTGGGTCAACTTTGCTAGCAGAGACAGAGAGAGGCGTTGAAAGGCTGCTCCAAAGGAACTTATTGTTTCGGAGGAAAACACGAACACAGTGTACAGTCGAGTCTTAACAGCTTACTTACAACTGGGCTCATCAGGCACTCTTCTTGGCTGCAGGTTATTATTATATTTGCATGCTTCCATTTCCCGTTTCTGCACGGTGACAACTCGTACTTTTCCACTCTCCTTTTTCTCCCTCCCTCGCTCACAGACACTTAACTGGTATGACAGTCCATTCTCCCTGCTGCATTCTTTAGGCTGATGCCTATTGCCTTCATATTAAATAATTTTTGTGAATAATTTTTTCAAATATTTCTTCACGTCATATTGCGGGCCGCAAGTAGAGGTGACATGGGCCGAGAGATTGAGACACAGACATTAGAGCCTCTTAATGTGTGTTTTGTTTGGGTTTGTATTCCGTTACTCCCCAACACTGGCAGTGGTGCATGTGTTGATAATACATATCCTAATGAAAAACAAGACTAGCCTTTGTACAAAGGCGTTCTAAGCAGTAGTGATGTGTCGGTCGCGAACAAAACGGCTCTTACAGCCGACTCTTTGAAGTGAGCGACGTGAGCCGTGGTTTTTTTTTTCTTTCTCTCACCCTCTCTCGCACTTTTTTTCTGCTTCACTCTGCACGGGACATGTGCTTTGCACTGGGAAGAGGGGGGAGGGGCGATAGTTACACTCGCAGTAGCACAGGAACAGAGCGGGAGGGAGAGACAGAGAAAGAGCCAGGGACAACAACGTCACATTAGAAAGGTATAGTAATCATCCACAACTATTTTCAGTTGCAGATGATAAAGGATTCAGAAAGTTTATTCATGCAGGTCCATATGACAGAGAATATGCATGTTCTTTTTGTTTTCATATATTAATTTATATTTAATTGTGTTGTGGTTTGCAGTGTTTTGTGTTGTTTCACTTTAAAATTGTTTAAAAGGAAAAAGCTGAAAATTTAAATAGTTAAAAGTTGAAATGTAAATAGTTGGTTTTTGTATTATATGATTTATTTATTACATTTTATGTGGAGTGAATAAATAAAAATACATTTAATGTATATTTAAAGTATATTTACAGCACATACAAACCCCCAAGCATGTACAAACTCCAAAACACGTACAAAAGACAACAGAAGTGCTCCAAAATGCTAGGAGCAGTGTTGAGCTTTTGTTACCTAGTGGCTACACAAGCCAGGAAGTACCAACCGGATTTGGTGTGTGGTAGTAACAGGTAAATTAACATTTTTTGGAATTATTTGAATATATGTGAGTGCTTGTGTATAAATACACAAACAATACACATATGCTTTCATGCTTTCAATTGTGTAATTTAAGTGCTCTAGGTAGCTCTGTTTTGGAAGTTCAGTTAATGCTAGAAATGTGTTTTGGACAGCCGGTTCTCTAAAAAGAGCCGGAAATCCCATCACTACTAATGCTGGGCAGACACTGTGCGATTTTTTCAGTCACGCAATTCAGCTCCTGCTCAAACTGTACGATTGACACGCAGGGGTTAGAAGTTCATAGGTCACGATGCAGAGTGCTCAAACTGTGCGTCCATAAAATGAAGGTTATAACAGAAAATCTGTCACTCTCTCTCTCTGTCTTTCACTCACACAGACACACCACCACCATCAACTTTGCTAAATTGCTAATGAAAAACATTGATCAGGCAGCTGTGATTGAGCAGCAATGTAAATGCAACTATTTTCATGGTTGTTGTGGTCGTGATAATTTTGTGATGCCACATCGAAAAGGCTCGGATGAGCTTTCCGCAGTTCTACAAGTTGTGCCTCCATCGCTTGTGTCCAGATCACACGCTGCACTGCCGTGCTGCTCCATCTCTCCATCTGCCGTGCCAGGTAATATTCAGAGTATGTTTTTTTTGAAAGAAGGAAGTTATAATTTAAGGGGTTTTTGTAACTTCAAAACAATGAAGGTACGTACTACAAGAAAAGGCTTTTGTGTTTCTGTTCAAGGAGTGAAACTATGGAACAAACTGAATATGGAATTAAAGCAATGTCCAAACATAAAACTGTTCAAAAAGAGTTATAAAAATATGATCTTCTCGATCTATAAAGAAAAGGAAAATATTTAAATATTTAAATTAAGTGAATGTCTCTATTTAAAAACAAACAAAAAATTCATGATGTGATATTATAGTATATAGTATATCAGAAATCTGTTCACTATTTTTATTACAAATTATATCAGTAAGGAAGCTGACTAAATATTCACTGATAATTTATGGGACAGGGGTGGGATTAAATAAGTGTATACTTCTTCCCACTCCCTTTCAACATGTA